AATGGTTATACACACAATATGCCTTTCATATAAATCGCGCCCCCTAGTGACGAAGCATTTCCAATGACGGATTGAACGTAAATGATTGGCGCGGTGGCCGTTCATATCGTCGATATCGTTTTGATCTGTAGTCGATCATCAATAGAAATAATGTTTTTGAAAAATTTTACTATTTTTTAAATGCAACTACACAACCAAACACAACGGCCGAATTGAACGACGTTCCCTTCACCCACATACGCCATACCGGTATGTCGTCACAGAAGCATCCCATTCCTAGAGGGCGCGATTTTCAGGAACGACTGATCAAGTAAGAATCCTGTGATGCAGCGACTCAGATATTAACGTAAGAGTCTAACACAGCAATAACCAATATATGCTCCCAGTGACAGCAATGTTAACAATCCAAAATAACCACAATTTAATTTTTAAAAATGTAAAGGGTATATTTTTATCAGCCTGCTATTCCAAAACATTTGGTTTTGCTAAAATTCCACTCACAAATTCAATGCTTGTTTACTATGGCAATTAATATGTGACAATCAATGATACACAACGCTGTGGTACAAATTCTGATTGTAGTGTGAATCTGAGAAATTGTTAAAAAGCGAGCTGCGGTGGTTGATTTTTTTGTTCTATCGCCATGTTTTACACGGCAGACTAAACTATTAAAACATCAATCTAAAAGTCGTCCATGCGCTGACGTTTTGTCTGATAATTATCACAAAAACACTATGATCGATTACTCTACGCTGATAGATTCACATTGTAAAAATATGACGCAGAGAGAGAGGTCAATAAACGCAGGTATCTGTTTTGAAATCAAATATTACGCATAGATTATCATCAAACGTGCAATGAACATATACCAATTATCTAATCTAATCTAATCTGGTCAGGTTTAATAAAACATCTTAATACATTACCGAATAATAGATATATTTATGGGGGGTGACTATGTCAAAGGTCTCTTCCTTCTTTTTATCTTCTGTTACATTTGCGCATCACTTAACCTCACCAACGGAGTTTACTTGAATGCAATGCATGCCTGAAAAGTCGGCCAAGTGAATGTTCGACCAATCACTGTGTCCCATAACGGCCGGATACACCACTTCAGTGTGAACGACAGCATAATTTGACTTTTTTGTTTGTATAATATGCATAAAGTTTGGACACATACAATGCAGATTAGATCTGCCTGCTTATGTGAATATTTGACAAATAAACCACATAATTATCACATTTTAATAAAACGTTTGAGGTAAATACATAAATGTGATCATGGAGTGATGTTATTCGTTATTTAATGAACAGATTGTCGCAATGCTGAAAAAAAATGTACAAGTTGTTCATTCTTTTAAACATATAAAAAATGTTCCTGTTTGATTTGTTAACAACTATTTTCTCATTGTCCTTTCAATGGCATACGTAACATACAAGTTCCACCTTTCCAATATTAGCTATTAATAATTGTTACTGTTACAACTTTTAGTATTACTAATTATTGCTTTACCAATTTTGTTACTGAGAAGATTATTTTGTATTTAGTGCAGCTTAAAACAAAACAAAAATACCCCCCTCCATTTTTATAGGTTAGCTGCATAATAATTGGTTAAAAGTCTCATATCACAAGAAGAAATGCACCCCGGAGTCATATTAATGCGAATAGAGGATTTTAAAAAGCCTAAATATCTTTGCTTTAAGCCCTGTAATTCCAAATGTATTTCTGGACTATGTGACTTATTTGGTACATAAATATATGTCCATTTCAGCATGTATGGTGGGTGACGTGTGTTTGTGTTATTGTGTTTGACGTCGACGTTGGACTTTTGATGGGCGTGGGATATGCTATATTCATGCACGTGTGGAGAACACAAGAACCCTATTGTACCTTACTAGGAAACATACCAAACACAGATATATACAAAGACATAATGTGGTATGAAGATGTAAGTACATACATAACTAATTCTAATCTATCAAGATTACCTGTATTACACCTATCGCATATATCTGTTTTTGTATCACCTTCTAACATATCTTTGCATAATTAATTAGTTATTTAATTGAAATAATTGATTTATATATTACAGGCCAATGAGATTCCGGGTATCAAGATATTTTGCATGCAATCATCACTGTACTTTGCGAATACAGCTCATTTCAAGGCAAGAGTGTTTAAACTAACAAAGATCAACCCAAGAAAGATACTACAGGCCAGAGCTCGGCAGCAGGCAATCGAAGAAGCGGAAGAGAGAAAAAGAAGAAAACAAATGAAAAAAAATGGAGATCTTGAAAATATAGGAGAAGAATTAGGAGATACATCAACACAGGTATGTGTAAGTTACGCACTGAACGCTTTCACTATATCATTATATCTTCGCAACTAACGAGTATTTGTAACATCCGAACTCACAATTCCGTGACGCAGTCACTGCGTTTGAAATTAAAATATCCCACACCAATACAGTTGATCATTTGTTAAAGTCAATACAGTTGATCATTTGTTGAAAAGTTTCAATAATTTCAAATTCCTCGAAACAAATTCAAGTTTAATATATAACTTCGATCTACAGAACAATAACCTGAGACATAGACGAGGAAATTCTAAGAGTTCTTCTATCTCGGCTGGTAGCGTCAAGAGCGATAAATGGGAAAGTGGTAAAGAAATCGACAAGGAGCCCGGTGCATATATACCTGAGTACGAAAATAGCGACGATGATAGTGACAATGGCGGAGTAGAGATTTTACCCGAAAACCAAATCCACACAATTGTTTTCGACTTTGCGCCCCTTAATTTCATCGATTCGACCGGGCTGAGTGGATTGCAGCAGCTGTACAGGCAATATCACAAAGTTGGAGTCAAACTATGCTTTGCTCACTGTAAAAGTATGTTTTGATTTAAGTTGTTCTGCGTTTCCTGCCCTCCCCCTAATTTACCTAGAAGATTTTTTTCAGCAACGAAATGTCGATTTAACATACAATATTTTTTCGTGGATGTCACAAAGTTTTATTGTGCACAACTAATCAATCAACCAATCAACCATATAACGATATCACACATATTTATCCTTTTGTTCCAGAGCGTGTTCGTGATTTCCTTTCTAGATGTGATTTTTACGAGAGCGCTGGATGTGAGGAACATGACACTCTGTTCGTTACTGTCCACGATGCTGTCGTCAGTGTAACTAGACGTAAAGAACTTGAGGTATAGTAAGAATACCATGACTGAGATATTGATTGATTGATTTATTTGATTGATTGATTGATTGAATGATTGATTGAATTTGTCTCTTCGCCCAGATATTTGTATAGTGTTCTCTTATTATAGATGCAGAAATCCATTTTCCCAATTAATGCTGTATTTCTAACAGCTTTGCCCTATGACCAGTCTTCCAATAGGTTCCACATAGCATATTCACGCCACAAGTTCGAAACTGTGTACTTAAACTTACAACGCCTGTTTTTAAAATAAAATCCAGGAAAATAATAAGCCCTCATCAAAGTTCTACATTTCCCCCTTTTCTCAAAAAAAAAAAAAAAAAAAAAAAAAAACACTCTAAATTTCCCCAACCCCCAGGAAATTATTTCCCTGTCCTCGACAATAATCTTCTTTGAACAACGTTTTTTTATTAACAGCTCAATTGACTGTACCTTATTAGTGGTTGGGTGGGTGGGTGCGTGAGCGAAGGTTACTGCTGGTGAAGCCATCAATATATCAATACACGCATTTTGATTGTTGGTCATCAAAACCACCTAAACAGACCAAAATTAGCCACAGTCTGTGGGATTAAGAATTATTTTACACAGAGGAGAACCCCTTCATTATTTGATAATCAAAACAGCGTGTAAATCATATTGTCATTGCAGTTAACCTGATACACCGTATACACATATGTGACCCAATAAAGCTGATTGGCGGACATTTTAGTTTCATAGTGTTCATACAGAAATATACACGATATACTTATGTCTATTGCAACTAAGAATGTTACATGATGTCATCACATGCGTCTCAACAAAAAACAATTGTTTATTTTTCCCTTTTTCCCACCAGAACAGGATCTCGCCAAGGAATGATGGCATGCCACCGGAAGAGACAATTATCACAGAGGATGGTATTCAGATTACGAGACTATAGAGATGGATTCTCGATTTAGACCTATTTCCGAGGGATGTCCGATCATGTGTCCGAACTGTGTGTTTAGTTTTCAAGACAAAATGTGAAATAAATTATTATTATGCTAATTCTTCTTATTTACACGATTTCTAATATTTCTGTGATTGTTTAATAATATTGCTTGATACGGAAATTGTGTGTATTGAAAACTGAAAATATTGATTTTGGCACACAAATTGAGGGGAACAAGAGTCGTATGACACTCTCTCTCTCTTAACGAGATCTCGGCGACTATTTGCCTATGAGGTCTATTCTAGTCGCCGATGTATAGTTATTTCAAATCGCATTCAGGCAGCTCCTTCTGTCAACCAATTACAAAGCGCTTTATTGAAGAGCGGTCTGTAACATGAGGTCTGATTGGTTGCTGACCCAACGAGAACTGAGCGTGATTTGGATAGATGCATCTGACTCGCTGAATACCGTGTCTAGTAATAATTTATACGTTTAACCTTTCAACAATCACAATTTTAAAGATATTACATTGCTTTCCTTTTTTCTTCATTTTTTTGTGGCAAAAATAGTTTGGTGTCGTTTTCATATTGCAGAGTATGTCAGGGGCTTTAAGGGGAGAAACGGCAATACTAGTAACTTCAATATTTTTTTTTTGTATTATTTTTGAGAAAACAATGACATTAGAAAGTGAATATGTAGGAAAGTATAATGTGACTTTATGGGTACTACATAAAACATACATGTTTAATCTCCAATATTAAAAAATCCGTTCATCGATAAGATTCAGTAATTTCCAGTATCTCGACTATTATAAAAGCGTGCAACTTTTTTTTTCTTGTACTAGAGGACATTTGTTAAAAAATGTAAATCGGGCCATATTTCACCACCTGAACCAAATCCACAGTCACAAGACAGACATAACAACATCAAATATTACCTTCCCTGCAATAAGCCAGTTCACAATCAGACCGCCATTTTGAATTTTAATGAGATTTTCAATGAACTTGAAGCAATACAAGGCAAAAGTTCGCATGGTACCTGACTGTATGCTATTCCTATGTACTGATTGCTGTCTTTTTTGGTTACTTTACAAGGCAATAACTCTCTAGTAAAAAAAAGAGCATTTCGCATTGTAGAACTCAGGACCCGGATGTTCAGAAGTCACATGATCGCTGTCGAATCGAGATACTGAGAAATACTGTAAATATAACTAGTTTATTTAGTTTTTTTTTTCTCTTGATAATTTTTACTAGAATATGTAGGTGATTTGTATTTATATTTGATGTAGATTTCTCGAGACACGTACATACAGTTCGGTTCGTTTTGAGGATAATGTTATATTTTTGGTCAAAAACAGGCGGAATACTTGATAAGTTTATTATTTATGAAGGGAGGCAACAATTATTAGTTTTTTACCTTTCCAATCAAAGCATGGAGTACATGAATTTGATATTTGAATTATAATATATAATTCAATTGTTAAAGAGAGAATAAAGATAAAACATTATTAATTAAAAATATTATTATTTTCTGTGATGAAAGTGAGACTTACGCCACTCAATCAATGCCACCCTTCCCCGACGAACTCTATCGAAATTGTTCTTAGCACTTGATGCATGGGACTAGAAAAGCCACTGAGGGCGCTGTACATTTTCGAAATGTTCAGTGGCTCGCAAAGTTAGACTTATAGCAAAAGACGCAGAAGCACTTTTTAACGCATGTAACCAGTTTAGTGTGGTAGAAAAAGGAAACAGTCATCAAATAACCGCGGCAATGGACAGGGTGAAGGTCAAGGCCGAAAATATGCGCTTGCGTTTCATTATAAATGCTTTCTATTAATAATTTCACTTTAAAATAATATTCATGAGTTGTGATTATGTCAGAACCTCATTGAAGTTATTAACATATTGTGTACGCAGTGTGCATGCTTTAGGTCATTCATATTCCACAGTGGTATAGTTGACACTAAGTGTTCGTCGATCTAGGAAGGGTAATGCCACATACCCACTGTAATTTGTGGGCCATTTTCCCAGTGTTGTTGACAATGACACATGTTGGGATATATATATACACTTCTACTTAGTAAGAGGATCCTTTGAACTTAATGTTCAATGGTTCCCCTCTGTAGCGAAGTATGGCATCACCATCATTTTTTTCATAACTCCCTCCACAAACATCTACATTGTCTCCTTCCTCCAGGGTTATTGGGGAACCAGAATTGTAATTGACATGATAGGAGTGTGTACAAATCCCTTGCAATCTCAGCAGTAGCTGTGTTGGAGTGGCTTGTTAGCTTGTGTATAAATCTGGTAGCGTCGCTTATGTGTGGGCTTTGAATACAAACACAGCGTTCAACACTCTCAATGAGATTGATAAACCTTAGTTACGACGGGTGCTGAACGTCACTTACATAAAACGTAAATTGCAATTGGCCTCACTGTGGGGACGCATTTGTTGTGGAGTACGGAAAATGAAACCGAAGCATGAACACGCTGCAAATAGCCTTTAATGAAGATATGACGTAGACATTCTCATAATAGTATTTAAAAGTGAAATTATTAATAGAAAGCATTTATTAAGAAACGCAGGAATCACGTATATTGGGTCTTGACCCCCACTATTGTGGAAATTTGAAGACTGTATACGCTTTCTATCATACTAAACTGGCGACCAAATTTGACAAGTGTTCCTCGCCTTTACACTGTAAGTCTGCATGAGTGTAGGCAAGCCGAGATAGGTTGCGATTGTATACAGCGCCACCAGTGGCTGTTACCTGCTCCAACTTGAAGGCACAATCCATTCTTCCATCAAAAACAATCAACGAATATTAAATAATCTATGTCTACTTCAGTGAACTTCGCCAATTTGTAGTTTTTGTTCCCATAACTCTGGATAAAATAAAAAAAACATGAATGCATTGGACATAACATGAACACTTCTACATTTTAGGCGGAGTGACTGTGTGTTCAACGCACGGGTACTGGACCACTTTTCTGTTCCGTAAAAAGTGCGCCCTCTGTCATCTAGCAGTATGCATATGAACATACTGATTTATTGTATATTGTATTGCGCAGAACTTTGGCGCCGATTAGAAGTCGTGGGACTCCTTCACGTTGTGTGTTTTACCCAGAGAAGAACTTTCATTGGAAAGCTGTATAGGTATGTGCCACATTTTGGTTGCCTGGAAAGAGATAGGATTCTGGAGGTTCTCGTGGCACATACCCAACACTTTCCAAAGCAAGTACTCCAGAGGGCCAGGGTGAATAGTGTGTGTCAGTTCACTTATTCAGCAATGCAAATCTTCAAAACGGTTTTGTAACTGAATGACCGATTGCGAAGAGCACGCCCTCTACGTTCGGAATTGTATACCAAGGACGACTGTTTAAAATAAATTAGTACACCCATTGCAACAGGTGCCTCGGAATCCCACACAATTCTGTGAGGCTGGGTTAACAAATATCAGAAACCTTGTCTTCAATAATACTTTGGTAAATGTTTATTATTTGCGCCAGACTGTGCATGTCTGTTCAATGTGATTACTCAGTATTGCTCTCGATATTATACATAGCGTAATCTCTATACAGTTCAAAGATATTATACAGACTAAAACCCAGAATGCACAGATCCTATCACCATGGTATATTCTGGAGCCCATCTACAGAGACGATGTCAATGAAATTTTGTTAAACTTTCCTATGTATATTCAAAAAGAAGAAATATAAGTTTTCTGTCATGTATGCCAAGGACCACTGTTGCCAAAAACCAAGACTCAACGTGCACCCTATGATGCGACATTCTAGCCCTGGACTCTGATGAGAAACAGAATTGTGATGATTGCTACATCTCACTGTCAACAAAGAAAGATGGCGACCTCCAGTGGTGGCTGTTGTGCCAACAGATGGGTTTCAGTTAAAGGCTTCAAGTCGGGATTATCATCACTGCCCATTTCGTCACGAAAATACGATCTAACACATATATGTATTGAATGTCCAAGACGAACACCACTATTTACACTCTGCTCGAGGAAGACAACATTCCATTAGCGTACTACGTACTACGACCACCAGGGGGTAAGTCGACATAATAATAATATCACCAGAATTAGGAAACTGATAAGTCTTCTTCAAACAGGCGCTCTACAACGTTTCAAAGCCCGGTTGAAATCCAGAATCAACAACAAATACCATTTCCATGTTATAACACGTTCAGTTATTAACACTTTCACACTACACAGTGGTGTCTCAACAACGCCTTGGCTTCAGTTACCAACGAGGCATAGGGTTACCCGGACTATATTGCAAAGAACGAGAGCACTTTTCCAGCGATTATCTTAGCTCAGTACCAATGAATTCGCGAAGTTTGTGTCAACATTAAGGTAGAGATGCAGTTTACCTGACAGGTAGCTTAATTAGTTAATTAGGAAACCAAAATGACCTCCCTTGTCCACAAAACTATATATTTTCGGAAAGCTTATTGTATGAATTTTAAACATTTTTTAGTATTTTTTTATGGACACTGTAGTTTGAAATATGCACAAAAATGTGCTTTTTTGGTCAAAAGTGATTAAAAAAAATAGCTCCTAAACCATGCTTCTGTCAAAATTGGTTTATGGGTACATCTGTTTACTATGAAGAAAGCGCCGTCTTGAAAACTGTCTACCAGTTATCAATTTTGCAGGGCAGCAGCCCAAATTTTACTACTTCAAGTTTATGCATAAATTAACACCCAGACTAGTTGTCTGTACGATTGTTGTAACACTGTTCAACCAAAATCAATGCTCCGACGGCGTTTTGAAGATAAACACATTGTCAATCATTTGTGAAAATTTCAAAACAAAAGGTCAGAGCGTCTAGGAGCTATTTTTTTTAAAGTTCTGGGATGTGCACTAAAAAGAAGCTGATATAATTGCTAATTTGCATAACAATTCACTCAGTAAGAAGTTTGCTAATGCTCATAATAAAAATGGCTGTAACAGTTCCAAATTTAAATGTATTATCGTTTTGTTGAAAGTTAAATATAGTGCATAATATGGAGATCCCGTCATTTCTTTTTTTCATCATGTTTCTTTTTTATTATTTATGTACAGCCTTGCTAAATCTTGCTAAGCATTCAAATAGAAGAATGTTTGCACCTGTTATCTATATTTTAAAATCGTTTTTTGAGTATGTTCCACTATTCACAATTCTACAAAATTTTAACAGTCTATAGCCAAGACTGTTTGAATAATAAAAAGCAACAACAAAAAATTTCACTCCCAAGTGCCCACAAACATGCATCTCTACCTTAATTACACATTCTCATGATTATTGTAAATCGCCAACTAACACTCGTTGACGTTGCTGTATCAACTTGAAACTTGGTATTTATATAACGTTTTTAATTCTCTTTTTAATCTGTAAATATGATGTACAATTTCTTTTAATAATCGCGAAATATAAGACTCAAGGCGAGATTATGTTGCCGTTGGTGGCGCACGCTCTCTTGGATCAAAAGGCAAAGTTAGCACAAGCCAAAATTTCTCTACCTACAGATTCAGCATTATACAGCACAAAATAAAAAAAGTGTATACTTTACGACGACGTCAAAGACGTGGAGACCTAATTGAAGAACTTAAACTCTGGTTGATAAAGTTGGTTCTCTGCTAACAGAAATATAAATGTCGCAGTGTGAGTACAAAAGCAATGCTGGAATTCAAAATGGCCGACTGAATTATCGTTTATATTTCAGTATAACATCGACAGAATGAATACAAATGTGACTAAACGTTGCCTTTCTGCCAACATAAACGTGTGAAAATATTTAGTGAGCAAAATAGAAGGACAAAAAACCTTGACTTTTATAACACCGACTTACCCTCAATGAATATGCGCAAATCTCTAAAAAGTACGCCCTCTAAAGTCAGACGTTTCAGTTTGTTTTGCAAACATGTCTGGTACGCATAGCAAACGGTCAATAGCAGACTGGTCCAGCCGTGACAACGTTATTGTTGATGCAAAACTTTTTCAGGTAATTTCGCATCGAACCAAGATTTGAAATAAAAAAATAAAAATACAATACAATAAAATACAATACAATTACCGCGGTTGGGGAGAGTCTAGGTCAATAGGTCATTTTTTTGTTGTCGGTGTTCCAAATACAGTGTCAACAATAAGCAAATATTTTAACACATTGTTAAAGGTAGCACTACTCATGAAAGTTAGATTATGTTATTTTAATTACTCTGAGTCTCGTATCTGATCAAAGTCCTTAGCCATAAATTTAACCACTGTATTGGTTCCGCATACTGTTCTTAGTCATATTTTATTACTAAAATAGTTGTGGACTCTATGCGTTATGCTTATGGCGTTCAGTTAAATATTACCTTTGTGTTGACTCGGCGTTATATATTTAATTCATTGATATTGACATTATTGAAATAATCCAGCGTCTTCGTCACGCATACAGGGTTCATTTGTAGTAACAACTCCACTGTGAGCGCTACCAGCAGGTAACCGCTGGACACCTGGCCTGGACATGACTTCATCAGTGTCACTTGAGAACTTAGTCAGCGACAACGAGATAGATCAGGACCTTGGGCTGGATCAGCCGCTTCAAGACGAGACGCAGTTCCCACACGTATATTCTAACGGCAATGAAGAAACGGACGAGGTCATCACGCCGGCTACTAATGTACATATCTCATTGGAACAAGACAGTAACGATGACGACGCACACACCTACGATGCGGACCAAGAAAGTCAAATCGAACGTCTACAGACGTACCGTCATGCAAATATGCCCCTGTACACCACCGAGCAGGAGTTCCAAAACCAATATAAGGAAAACGAGTTTGAGTACGTACCGTACGGTCAGAGAATTAAAACTAAAATGAAGAAGTGCCGATGCGGTCCTCAATGTTGTAAAGGTTGCATGGTGTCAACGGTGCCAATTTTAGGTTGGCTACCCCGGTACGTGATTCGAACCCAGCTATTAGCAGATATCGTATCGGGCATAACAGTCTGCGTTATGAACATACCGCAAGGTTAGTATAAAAATTGTAAAAAAAAAAAAAAAAGAATTTAAGGGGTCATTAACAAACATGAAGAAAACAGGTCCCAATATCGAGCACGCCAATTTGGACATGGGCTGAGGTGGACATTTACACTTGTACACTAAGTACGTTCAGATAATTTGTCATTCAATCAAGCTTATCACCTTTTATCCCATTTTTTACAGTTTATCTAGAAGTAAAGCACGATTGACTGTAAGAAAGGCATTTGATAAGTCAATATAGATCGCGCCTGTCATTTTCCCGTTATCTGTATTCGAGAGAATATAATTACATACATTTATGAGTGTGGTGTAAATAGAGTGTGACGTCCTGGAACCCCACTCATTTTCACATATGAGTATATTTTGAGTCAAACATGTATACATAACCTGCAAGGTCTAGGATCTTGATAACAACTGCTAACGCTGATATGAGGCGAAAGTTGTTCATATCAAACCACCTATCCTCATAAAAAAGCAGGAACACTTTTGCCATCTTTCATTAAATAGATAGGTTAACTCCTAAAGTGCGCAAATGTAAGCTAAAGACCTTAATATGACAGAAACACCACATATTAGTAATATGGCTGGATTACAATCAAGACTAGTTGCCTTGGTAATAGACAAATTACATAATTAACATGTTACAAATTAACATGACAGGAACGACGATGTGAGCAAAAATCGGCGAGACTCATTCGAGCCCATTATTAAAGCGAGTATCCCCGTCCGAGCCCTGTTATCACGCAATATTGGACATTGCTGAGTCCTTAATTTCAATTTAAATACCACGGACTGTAACAAAAAATTGAATATACGCGCGGTGGTAGCTTGCGAGGAAAAAATATACAGTGTGGTTAGTTAGCGTGCCGGGAACGCTTGTATTTCATTTACGCGTAGAAGAGCACACGACATGCGAACTATTTTTTAGCTGTAAATGTAGGAAAACATCGAATATTGACGAATTGCACGACCTTGTTCGTATGTCCGTGCATTTACCTCAAGCACAGTCCAGTGCGATAACAATCGATAACAAGACCGCACGAGGTGCCGATCGACCAATGGAAATGCGGTGTTTCAATAAAAAGGACAGTAATTTCATTTATTTTGTCTATAATTTTTATAGGATGACCACATCTCATGTGTCTTGTGTTGAGCATATTCTGTTTATAATAATCTCTTTGAAACAATATTTATCAACGCAAATACTACTGACACAAATCAAGGTCAGATGCACCTCTAAATCGCCGTTCCTTAAATGGTGCATGTTCATCACACGTGATAGACTTCGCACTCCCACAATGACCGTTTCAATTTCTTCAAATTGTCCAATCATTTACTTCATTATCTTGCTAGTTGTACACTCTCAAATCTCTGTCAATTTAAAACACTGCATTGGTAAACAGACTAGACTTGGATGTCACGCAATCGATCACATTCTGTTAGATTTGAATTCATGAATGAACCTCGGGTTTATGGACAACTTGACCCCTGACCCATACAGTCACCGTACACCAAATAGATGAAGTAAAGAATGAATGTCGTACTTCTTCATCACCAAGTCAGTCGGGATTGATTGGTTCTTCAATGTCGAATTTTGGGGGATATTTCTCGGGGATAAATGCTCGTTTACGTCAATAACCACGCAAAGTAATACGTTAAGACTATTGTCTCTCTGAACAGAAGAGTAGCCAGAGCCACCGCCAAACTAATGTAAGTCAAATTGTTTATTCGACTACTTAGCGAAAGGGAATAATGCGCGTTAGAAAGTTTCTGACATAAACCCCGCCCCCTAACGTTAAATTAGCCAATTGCATGGAAATTCATTTCTTAGTATTGAGCCGTCCAATTATTATAAGTTCACCGGGGTTATCACGAGTTCAAGCTACCGTTTAGATATCATCTGATGACAGCGCGTATGCCAAACAGAACCATCAGCTCGCAAAAAATCCATGACACTTTATGTAGTACAGCCTTGAAAAGAACGTTGAGTTTTCTGTTCCGCACTTTAATAACCATTGAGTAAATAATAAACGTTCTGTCTCTTCTATGATCCAAAAAACTGAGATAATTTATTACAGATTTAACTACATGTTTCAACGTATTCATTATTATATTCTATATTAACAACACATTTAACTATATAATATTTTATGTGAAGTGTGCCCGTTGATACCATAGATCAGTAGTGTTATTTTGTAGTTATCGAACAGAAATACACCCTTTTCGTGTATCATGCCTTATTTATATAAACAACGTTCACGAAACTAACCAAACTAAAACCAAACAGATGATCTGATGTCTACAGAATTATGTGCTCAACATTGTTCAATGCATCGACGTGGTTAACACGAGTATTATGGCTTTATTACAGCTCTCGACAACAATCGCGTTTTATGGCTGTATTACGGTTTGTAATAAAGCCATAAAACGTGCTAGGCATGTCGATGCATCGAACAAAGTTAAGACCACTGACCGTATTCCAGTTTTCAGATGGCAAAGTACTCACTCGTCTTAAAATTGTGCGTCGGTTAGGTCACAACGCTCAAGCCACATCTCAGGGTGTTACGTAATGAGAATACACACTAATGCAGGGTAAATAATACAGAATACTACTCCACAGAAATTGGGGAGTCACTAGACGCAATTGTAGATATTATAGGTACTAGCAAACATATCTACGAATCTACGTATACTGGGAATATTAAAATCATTAAAAACGGGCAGAGTGGGGGAATTATCAAAAGCATTACGATGAGGGTGAGTGTGGAAACGAACATTTGTGCATTATAACAGTCGTTACAATACGGGAGAGAGGACTTTTCTATCTTATCGGCAGCCGTGGACGTAAAATACCGAGACAATACGTAAACACGACTCGATATTATGTATTAGTCTCTAAATACTATATATATATGTTTAATTATGTATATTATTGATTTTTTTTAAATTTATGATATGATATGATTTGATTTGTGTTTTATCTAGGCATGGCGTACGGCATGCTGGCGTCATTACCTGCAGTATATGGTCTATACCTGGGTTTCTTTGCACCTATTGTGTACGCACTGACAGGCACATCTAGAGAGCTAGCCATGGGTGAGTCATTTTATAGAAATACACATTTACATTGGAAGAGTTTTCTCGTAAAATAGTCTTACACGTGCGTTCCAGGGCGTAGAACCATGTTTAATAATTACGTCCCTAGGTACGTATTCTGTCATAAGTATAATGGTAAGCTCGGCTATAGAGGGAGTGGTACCGCAATATCCCGTCGACCAACCACCGCCGACTGGGTTTTTTAACAATACAAACACAACAGCTACTAGTATGCCGGAATGGGACAGACAGCAAGAACTGATAGACGCTGCTATTATACTGGCACTTCTAGTTGGAATTATACAGGTTAGTATTATTTAGAATGCTTTCACTGAATGTGAATATCTATTTTCGTTCATAATGTTGATAACATCTCACATATTTGAATGAACAATCCGTTTTAACAATTTTCAAAAGAATAATACGAAATAAACTCTCAGAGAATGCAATCATTGACTCAGAGATTAAGTCGTTTGTCTATAAACTTGTTGGGGATCATGTAATAATCTTATAATATGTATATTCTATAGTAATTACGTACTAGTATCTCGCTGAATGAATTGATAATTAATTAATTATATGTGTTTTAATTAATCAATTTATTAATTAATGCTAGTAGAGTGTTGAACTCAATACATATACGAACACAAGGCTATTGAAGTGCTTATTCTAATTCAGTTAGCAATGGGTATACTGCGTCTCGGCTGGGTTACTATATACCTATCTGACCCATTCATTAGAGGGTATACTACGGGTTCTGGTGTCCACGTGTTCACCAGTCAAGTCGATGAGATATTAGGTGTAAATGTTGCCAGCTACGATGGTGCATTTAAACTATATTACGTGAGTATAACAACTAATATTCGCATATGTACATCGGTCACATGTTATAGTCAAGAGTTTCAAAACTTGTGTTACGATAAGTGGACTCAATGACCTTTCAGAACAATGTAAAATGATAAAGTTGGATACTAGTATTCTGATTTATTTATGTCAACCGTTTTGTAGGTTTACCGAGACCTATTCGCCGCTGCCGATGATTGGAACCATGTAACCATATTGCTCGCAATGAGTTGTGTTGTAGTGTTAATTCTTATTAAAGAAGTAGAAACCAGGTACAAGAAACAACTGCATGGATTCCCCTTAGGAGCCGAGTTAGTTGTGGTATGTACCGCTTATATCATATACTTATGAGATATATATATATGTATATATGGGTACATTGTGGTCATGGATGTCTATTTCATATAATGGCGAAATAAAATGTAATCGTTACTGAACCAATAGTTGGAATGGCAATACATGTGTAAATATAAGTATATGCAGTTGATAATATACTGACATTTTATTCCATACCTAGGTAATACTGGCTACGTTATCAAGTTACTTGTTGAACTTGGAAGAAAACCACGGTGTTGAGATTGTTGGTGAGATACCTGCTGGGTAAGAAGATTTTATGAAATGATTTCATTATACATTGTGCGTAGATCGTATTTATTTATTTCCTGTTATTGGATTTTAAACATTATTAAATTCTCGTTATGCATATTATTCTTGACGATGTACGTATTTTAGGCTAATTAATCATTAATAAATTAATATTTTAAAATATGGTGATAATTTCTGACTTTTGCTGAATCACTACGTATTATTATTGATAATTAGACATTCACTTTATAAACATAGCGATTTAAAATGATTCGTTCATTTCACAGAATACCCGCTCCAAGTATACCGTCAACTACATACCTCACAGACTTGATTGGTGCTGCCTTTCCTATTGCAATTGTTGCTTATGCAATCGCTGTTGCCATGGCATCACTATTCGCTCAGAAAAAGAACTACAAAATAGATTCAAATCAGGTATGGATATGGTGCAAATGTGTGGAGTTGATTTATTATTGCATATGTGTATAAAAACTATTTGAATTATTACAAGTTACACTATGCCGACTTTACTATTTGTATAATGCAGACATATTTTAAATATCTGAAAAGTGAAATATGCACTCCTTGTTATCACGAATATATTGTAAACATGTACTGATGCCATTTTGATTTTGCATATATTAACACTCATTATGCATATGTAATGTGTACAGTCGTACCTGATTGGCCTATATGTTGTTACTCGTCGTGCATATTCAATAAGTATATTTGCATGTATTTTGCTACTGTTGTCGCTTTCTTGAATACAGGAACTGGTTGCTGCTGGAACCACAAATTTTGTGTGTTCATTTTTCTCCTGCTACCCAGCCAGTGGTGCAATGGCTCGTAGCTTAGTCCAAGACAGTTCTGGGGCCACTTCACAGGTCTGTACATCGTATAATAATTTCCCATATTTTTTTCGATAATACCATCAATGCATCAATGTGTGATTCGTCTACTCCAATACTATGTATGTGGGTGGACACATACGTTTCCTTGAAATTTGATCAGATCGAAATTGCCTCCTCGCAATACTAACAATGTATGGTTTATTTTAATTTCAGATTGCAGGCTTAGTAAACAGTGCATTGATGTTAGTAGTGCTATTGTGGATTGGTCCTTTATTTGAGACTCTTCCAACGGTAACATTCATATCACATTCAATTTGCTTATCACTTGAGATAATTTTAGCAGCGACTGAGACTACTAGCCCAATGATTACATCTCTAAAACTATCAGCTAGATGTTTTTCATATTTATTTTTTTAGTGTATTGTTGTTTTTTTAATTCCGTGTTGCATGGTTTGTATACGCAGATAACAAGTAGGTTTAGATTAATTAACTATGAAATTTATTTCCACATAATTTTGACACGTTTGACACATTGAGAAAAAACTTTATGTATGTTTGCATTAAATATATAATAACCCAGTCCGTTGTGAAAATAGTAATACTCGCTCGTTGCAGTGTGTGCTGTCTGCCATTATAATGGTTGCCTTAAGAGGAATATTCCGACAACTTCTGGATCTCCCGAGACTTTACAAGTATGACGTCACCGACTTTGTAAGTACGCCCGCACTTCGCACCATTCACACATATATTTTTTTGTTTTTCAAACGATTTTAATGTGTAGAGTTTAACGTTATATTTATAATTTTCTCGCATCTCTCGTATAACTTGTAGATTGTTTGTGAATGTCGATACCAGAAATTGTCACCTCCAATTTACCCGTGGCACAATTGGGTGAATTTATGTTTTCGATGCATTGAATTTCACTCAGTAACTTCCTCTCTCACTTTTTGAGCAACAGCTTCATAAATTAGCCGATTCCACGTGGAAGATAGAAGTAGTTATGCACTCGCCAATATCAATAGATAAGACTTATCTCAAACATTCCTGTTGCGAGTGGACTCGTTTTAGGACTACAGACTAAATGTAAACATACTAGAAATCAAATCAAGTGCTTCAAAAATAGTCGTAGCTGCAGAGCCCATCATTGTTAACCGCGGACGGACGTATTGAATATTTGTGGCAACTGTCGCATTTTACATTGTGTTGATTACACGGTAACTCCACCATTGATCTTACCCTGTGCTGACTTCATGTTTGCCAACTTTACATGGAGATTATTTAATATAATTTGTATATTACAGCATGTGTGGTGGGTAAGCTGTGTAGCCGTTATACTATTTGATGTTGATATAGGACTATTACTCGGTGTGGGGTTTGCAATATTTGTACATGTCTGGAGAACACAGGAACCATATTGTACATTACTGGGTAGAATACCAGGAACAGATATTTATAAGGATATTAAGTGGTATTCAGTTGTAAGTACATACCGTCACAGCGCTGCGAGTATGCCCTGCTCCCACTCACGAAGGACAATGTCATTAATACTGAACTCAGTTTGACACGAGATACGCAGTTTGACTTTTTAAACCACGACACCGGCGCAAGCATATGCGAACGTACACTAGGGGCGTTTCGCTTAAATAAAACAATATTCTAGTCCGAAAAAAATAAGGTATCGGCCGTACTGAATAATCGTGCATAGATTATGTTGTGATATAGTGCAATGTTGTCATTTCCATCAGATGATAGACAACTGATAATTTAAGTTATATGAACACAGAAATAACCAGAAAACTCATAGTTTGTCCTGTAATATATCTCAAATTTTTATTCAACTTCTCGACTTTGTACAGGTCACAGAAATTCCGGGTATAAAGATATTCCGTATGCACTCGTCTCTGTACTTCGCAAACACTGCTCATTTCAAATCCAAGGTGTACAAACTGACTGGCGTCAATCCAAGAAAGATATTACAAATTAAGGCGAGACAACAGCAGTTACAAGATTTAGAGATGAGAAGAGAAGAAAAGAAGAAAAACAAGGAAATGAAGAAAAGAGTGAAAGAAAATGGTAATGTTATCGAAGATGAAAGAACAGCCGATGGCACGCCAAAGGTCAGTGTCGGTGTAGTAGTCGATTTTGATGCTAATTAATAATAATTAATAATTATTTTATTGAATATGATTATGACTTAACGCCAACTCGTATGTATTCTGATACCAAAATAATAATAAACAATCATCATACGCAACAAAGTGATTCGTGACGAAAATTACATTTTCCGAAGTATGTCCGTGTATATAATATAATATTATAATTGGATAGATGTCACAAATATATCCGTAAAGTATTTTTTTGTTTATTTTTCGCCAGTTGTCTGCCCCTGCAAATCCAGTATTATATAATGGCCGGAATGACGAATTCACCTCCAATGAACATGGAGCACACATAGTCGAACTCGACGACGATTTTACAGGAGACAGTGGGTTAATTACAGATTTGTCACCAGAAAACAGCATCCACACAATTATCCTCGATTGTTCATCTTTCAATTTCATTGATTCGACGGGACTGAATGGACTACGACAACTGTTCAGAGAATATGACCAGGTTGGAATCAAAATTTTGCTCGCACACTGTATAAGTAAGTACACGTTATTTGAATCGCAATGTAGTGAATATTCATATTATGTATTAGTCCCAGCTAGTAATCTATGTGGAACATGTGTATATTAGGCGGAAGATGAATCACCCCATATTGTATTTCGTAGAACGTACACATAGAAAAGCGAGGCGCCTGACAACATCTCTAGTGTATTTCCGTAAAACCAAAAACACACTGTTTCCCAACATCAGTTGTGCCCCAAAAGGAAATCGAATTGTTGAAGTTGTCTCAGATCTCGATCGAACTCTCCAATACAGTGAATGTCGTCACATGTTTTTGTTATATATTTAAACGTATGTGAGTTTAATAGGTTCGCTGGGAAATTATTTACGCAGATATTACAATTTCTTTTTTTGTTATTTTAGAGTTTTCTTTCATTCGAAAGTTTACAACGTGAACTAGAATTAGTTTGATGCATTGTGGGTAGCATACTTGAAATTGAAAACGGTCATTTTTCTCTTCTTTTCCAGAGCGAGTCCGGGATTTTTTCTCCAGGTGTGATTTTTATGAGACTGTTGGCTGCGAAGCAAACCGTTGTTTGTTTGTAACTGTGCATGGCGCTGTGATGAGTGCAATTGAAGATGACACAGATGAGGTGAGAGCAGCCAAAAATTGTAATGCGTGTCTGCCTGCAAGTTTGGACGTCCTGATTACTTATTGTGATTACGATACAACTACTATCGTTATGTTTATTTAAAGTATGTTTGGGTTATGATTGCCTATGTATTAAACATATTTTTCTCATTTTTTTTTCACAGAACAACATAACATCAGCAAAAGTACGTACCGTTATATCAAATAAAAATGTCACATCGACATTTATGGCAAAACAAAGTCCCGCACCAGGTGCGAATAATCATACCGATGACCATACCGATGCCAATTCTATTGAATCAACGAAGCTATAGTTCATGATGTGTACGCGACATCGTCCTCTTGATTTATTATAAATCATATGCAATGTCTTCGTTCATCTCGCTTTGTCACGGCGTTATATGCATTTGTGAAACTTGAATTATCTCCATGATGTTTTCAAGTAATTAACAACATATATCGGTGTATAGATTCAGCACCCAATGTGTATGTGTGACTGCGTTCAATTGCTACGTTTACACGACAACATTCTATCGGAGCCGAAACAATGTGATTATACGGTCGGGCCGAACGAGGGCCGATATCCTCCCGAGTTCGTACAGAGCCGAACGTAACATCGTCCTCAATTACTTATAAATACAACATGGCTGTAAACGATTTTGGTGTCGTGCTTGTGTTGTTTCTTTACATGGCACGATGCATGTCAGAGTATTATTCTGTTGAGCTCAGAGAAAAAACAAACAGTCATGAGTCTGAGACAATATGGAGTTTTAGTGATTTGGTGATTTAGGTATCTCGAAAAACAGGATACACGGCAGCTAAACTGAAATACGCTAAATGTGTTACCGCGAAATTTATTGTCATTTACCATCTTGTAATTGTTCGACTGTTGTGACATGTTTAACAATTGTCAACCTAAACCTAGTAGGATCACGTCGCCGTACTGTGATTGCTTTTACAATTTTTATCTTAGGTGTCTTAAAAAGTTTCTTCAATTTTCATTGGATCTGTTCAGTCGTCCTTTCAAGTTTTTGTCGCATAATTTCGTACGCCATTTTTCTGTTTCCCGTTGAGCTATCAATCTCATATCGCAGTATTTCTTTACTCTGCCAAATAGATATTAGGGCGCGTACTTCTTTGTCAAGCCAGAAATTACGCGAAATTACAAACGATGTTTTCTCCGCCATACTAGTAATTGAAATGAGAGGTTACTTGAAGAAGACGATTGAGGGCGTGATTTCGGTCCGATAGTTGTTCCCCGATGGCCCAAACCTATCGGAGTTCTACCCCGTGTGTTTATCGGAGCCGAACTTGGCTTGAGCCGGCTCAAACCGAACGCTACACGGCAATTTTTGCTGACTCGAGCCGTAGGGCTCCGATAAAATGCTGTCGTGTAAACGTAGCAAATTGTTCAATGTGCAGATTACCAATTCTTACACAAAGAGTGTATTTACAAAAGATAATTGAAAATATTTATTACTCACAGCGAAAAGGGAATTTGCATAACAATCACTAAACTTTGTAACTTCTTGGCAAATTATTTTCGATTAAATAATATATATTACATACCAATAGCAATGTGTGTATTATACAATTGAATGTAAAGGTTTGTCATTCTGTAATGTGTCATTTAAATAGCATAACATGTTGGTTAGAGCTTATATCGATTTCCCACGCCAGGGAAAACAGACCATGGAACACAGTGTGTATGGTTCAAGTTTAGCTAGTACATTGTAGTAGTCATGGTACTACGTATGCTCAAAGTTGCGTGGCCAATTTTAGGAATGTGCATATTGTAAAATTACGTATTTTTATCATTTGTCGTACTCTTTTTTAAAATTAATTAAATCGTTCACGTGTATGCGAAAGGGAGCTCTATTGTGAGGTAAAACTTGGCGGCCAGGTGTGAAATTACAGATTTGGGAACATGATATAGCAGGAAAAAGTATTTCTTTGTCGAATGACTACACTATTACTATACGTATATTTCATCGGCCTACAGGTCAAGATATAGCGTAATGGTATGGTTATAATACTGCCAAAATGGCAAATATCCACTGAAATACAACCATCATTTTCACGGAAATAACGCTAGTGGTGACCCTAAATAGATTGCGCCCTAAAACATGCGTTCAATCAGATTTAGCGTTGCCCATGCAATGGAAATCGCAAATAAAATGACGGGATGTAAAATTGACACAAAAAACTCATTTTTAATACACGAGACACGAGCCCATAGAACAGGATCTGCCAAGTTATAGTAGTGAGGCGATGAACGAATAAACGGAGTTTGACTGGCGAAAATGAAACGAACGCGGATAACCCACTTTTTTGTAAAGAAAAAAAAACGTCCAGAGAAAACATATTGTGGTAATAACAAAACCTGGGGTGGCGCTCTTTCTACGTATTTTGTTCCGTAACGTGTTAACAGTACAATAAATGTTGTCTGCGTGTGGTTGAGGGCGCCACATACGCGACTCGTGTTAATATCGCAAGTGAAAAAAGGAATATTTTAACTGCGTTAATCAAAATGAACACGATATGAAGTCGAAAAGAAAACGAAAACGAGATATGTTTATATCTCATTAACATGTTGAATTAAATTCACACAAAATAATTCTATCGAGGAGAGCCGGTCACATGGAATCGAATAAATCAATTATGTTTCACCAGTGTGTCACGAATGTAAATGCATGAATGTGATTGGATGAGAGGTGGTTTTGATTTATGTCAACCGGATGTAGTACGATGTTGCACCAGTCGACCGAGCAGGAAATTGACGAAGACGGCATTATAAAGTCACTAAAAGATATTTAAGCATGATAATAGTAGCGTTCACGCACAGCTTCTTAGCACGGGCTAGGAGGTCAATGTCTGTTATCGTGGGTTTTACCCCCGCACCACTATTGTTATTTGTTATTTAATTAGTGACAGGGGCCATTCAAGATGTGTAAAAAAGGATTATAATTTGAGTCGAGAGTTGCAATCCGGCAACACCATGAAAAAGTCTAGTTTATAATAGTGGGGGAGTAGCGAAAATGAGACAAATATATTTAAAGAAACATTCTTTATTAAAAATTAACACAAGTTATTCCAACTGCCTGTGACCCAATAATTCTAATACAGTTTCGTTTTAAAAAAAAAGAAGAAGAGCTTTAAAACAAAGAAGAGTGTTGGGGTTGATTTTCAAATTTGAAATTCAGTGAAATAGGTTAATTTTTCAGTACGACTATTATGTCCCACATATACATATATCAAGTGCCTCCTGTCACATTTCGACGCGAACAGTACAATTGAGAATCAATAACAATATTGTGATTCTGAACGCCAGACCGAACAGCTGGCTGATCAGTTCACACGGTAAAATGAACGAAAAAACACCTGTAATCCCAGTTAGTATGGACATTTTTCATATTGAGCAGGGTATCAAGCACAGAACAAAACGCTTCTCTACAGTTTGGTCATCTGAACATCGGCGTTCTCGGGCTGGTAACTATTAACGGTCGTCGATGCAGGTGTTGTCATATTAGCGTTCCTCGTCATTGAGTGGATTTTCTTTTCTTTGGCCTTTGCTTTGAAAACCTGCAATTCACAACAATTACATCGTGGTTGGTTATGTGTTACTTACTGATACAGACTGAGTACTTCTACCTTTACAGTCACACTTGTCGCCACATCTCTGAGAGTGTGGCGGGTAACAATACAGCAAACGTGTTTCTAATTTGCGCTCACATTTTCGACTGAAATTTGATCTTTATTACATTTACATGGCCATTAGTCTAAAAAAAGACGCTGCAAAATCGCATTATTCTGTCGGAGAAGGGAAGAACAAAATGCTATATACACATAGATCGATATCGAAAAAATTTACATAAAATGTTACTTCATGTTCAGGTGTAAACAGGTCACGGAGTACGCGATTACAGTGATCAAATTTGAGGGATGTACAGATTGACTGGATGTCAACAAAGAATCGACTACATCTCAGTGTTTGTTGTGTATAACATAGTACGCCATTGTGAAATGGATGTGCCTTAGGCTGCAACAGCACGCACACTGATACCGCGAAGAAAAATACAAATCCATTCATTACAGTGAAAACTACTAACTAATTTATTTACTATTTAAAATTCGCCGTCTCTTTCTAACTGCGATGTAACGTAATATGGGTATACAAGTCTCGATAATTAGTTAAAATTAAGATTTATGTAAATAGACGACGACGGAGAGTGAAATGCAAATTAGCTAATTAATATTTACTGAAATATAATGACCACGCCCCTCACTGTAAATGAAACCACGAGAATTTGTGACATATACTAATATGAAAGCATACCTCAGCCGTAGAATATAGAACAGCATCATGGATAGTAACAAATATACAACTCTCGCCTTTGCTTCCAACTTTCTCATGAAAATTACCTTTTGAAAGAAAATCACGGACGCTCTCTGGAAGAAAAAAAATAGCGATTTGAAGTGCACACATGTAGAAATGTGTGTACATCTACTTCTACTTCTATAATTGCCAAGTCGGTTTATGTATAAACGCAGACAATTCAACAGATAAAACGACGCGCATAAATTAAAATTAATGCGCTACGGTAGTCACGCATCGCGCGTCCAAATTTGATGTTAATGCATTTTACACGCGTTGTACACGTCGTATGGGACCCACATCGAACACGACGCGGTGCGACGATTGCATGCATTAATATATACGTAGATTTGTGCATTTACACTTTTAAGTTACATTTTCCGATGTATTGTAATTGAACTGCTGACTTGAAATTAACATACATACATAGTTGAATAATTGAAAATCATTTAAATATATAATTGTAAAAAAATCGGTTGCAAAACGGCACATTGTTCGTTTGTTCGAATACCAACTTCAAAAAACAAATATTCTTGTACTTTCAATAATTTAAGTTGTAAAAAATATATTTTCAAACGTTGAACTTATTTTTTTTAAACTGTTTACATATATACGACCCCACTTTAGTGTGTACATATGCTATTAAAATCATCGCGGCAGCAAAACTTACTTCTGCAATGTGTCAGCAACACCGTAATGTCTACTTGTCGGAATTCGTTGACAAGTTGTCTTAGTCCATTTAACCCTGTAGAATCTATAAAACTAACCGGAGAACAGTCGATAATAATCGTGTGGATGTTACATCCGGGCGACTGGATATCTTCAAACTTGGTCACGTGATCGCCATGTTCACCGTCGTCCTTTGATGTTTTCCGGTCAATATTGATCAGGTGATCTATGGCAGGGGTGGACAATTGACGAGAGCGCTCAGCCTTCTGGGAAGGTGTGTATTTCTGCTATAAATGTATAGAAGACTCCGTGTATTTATAGGTCCACCGTGAGGGCGTTTTCTCTTTATATTACGCTCGGTTACTCTGATAATATTCTCAACACTTACCTCACTTTCATTTACGTGTGCGATTTTATTTTCACTTTCCTTGATTCCTTTTTTCCCCGAATTTTCATATTGTTGCTGTCTGGACTTTAACTGGAATGTTTTCTTTGGATTTAACCCTGTCAGTTTATACACCTTTGACTTGAAATGAGCGACATTTGCATAATACAGCGATGCCTGCATACAGAATATTTTGATTCCTGGAATCTCTCTTGCCTGGAACACAATTGACAATTCAGTTCATTTACGTGTATGTTATAATTCCTGTTGGAGAACTGATGTTCGATAGTACTGCGGGCTCAGTGGAGATCACGGGCGAACTCTTCTCCCTCTGTACCATCGAAGATCACGTCGTTACAATTTTTCAAGTAATTGTCTTGTGTACAAAATAATGAACGCGTAAAATGTCGTGTGCAGACAAATTTAAGCTATACAACCGAATCAAGAAATTTCACGGAACGTGACTTGTTATCTCACGTGAAACACTTGTTAGTTGACCAGGGTCGTCCATTACATTACATTACATTACATTACATTACATTACATTACATTACATTACATAGTCTACACGTATCCTCGTACACATCTGTTCCTAGTATTCTACCAAGTAACGTACACTGTAGTTTCTGTGACATGTACACATATTGTGATGGACTATACTTACACTGGAATACCACTTAATATCTTTGTAAAGATCTGTTCCTGGTATTCTACCCAGTAATGTACAATGCGGTCTTTGTGTTCTCCAGACATGTGCGAATATAGTGAATCCCACTCCAATTAACAGTCCTATATCCACATTAGATAGTATAACCGCTAGGCAGCTAACACACCAAACAGCCTGGGGGGGGATATCACTTTTAATATCGCCCTTGTATAAAATGTTGCCAAATAATTGAAGTTGTCAAACTTAAACTGATATTTTCAGCAATACATATAATTGAAACCAAAACTTCTGACACATATTTTTCATTTTATTGTTTATTTATTGCCTGATGACAGTATATATAGAAGTGAGTATTAAGATATTGATATCCAAGAAGGCGAGATATTTTGTAAAACACTGAAACACATACATTGATTTTTAGGAAATTGACTAGTGGTTTGATTAGACTGAATCTTTATTCAGTGAATTTATAGGCTGAAATACATACATCGATTTTTAGGAAATTGACTAGTGGTTTGATTAGACCGAATCTTTATTCAGTGAATTTATAGGCTGAAATACATACATCGATTTTTAGGAAATTGACTAGTGGTTCGATTAGACAGAATCTTTATTCAGTGAATTTATAGGCAGAAATACATACATTGATTTTTAGAAAATTGACCAGTGGTTTGATTAGACCGAATCTTTATTCAGTTAATTTATAGGCTGAAATACAAACTATGATCACCCCGTAATGTGATAAACGGGAACGATGCCCCCTGTGTATACTTACAAAGTCAATGACGTCATACTTGTAGAGTGTCGGAAGATCAAGAAGTTGTCGGAAGATTCCTCTTAATGCCACAATTATAATAGAAGCAAGTACAGCCTGTAACGGAATACAATTACACTAAAATAAACACTACATAACTGGACATGTACACTAAAGGACTGGTTATATACACTCCATGGCTGGTCATATACACTACAGAACCGATAAAGACTACTAGTATATGACTGATGATGTACACTACAAGACTGGCAATAAACACTAGATTATTAGTCATATATAATACAGAGCCGGATATGTTATTAATTGACTGGTTATATACACTATACGATTTGTCATTTACATCACTTGACAACATATATTGCCGAATTATAGTGAGATAATAAAGTATTATTTGTATTTACCGTTGGAAGAGTCTCAAATAAAGGTCCAATCCACAATAGCACTACCAACATCAATGCACTGTTTACTAATCCTGCAATCTGAAATTAAAGAGTGAATCCAAACTACTAATTATTATATGATCTAACCTTTAACCTATGTTATGCATCGTGATGCTAATTCGTAAGTACAATACCAATACCAACATACATACATATGAAGTAAATTGCTGGTAATAATTAATACGTTTTGTTATATTATATTATATGAATCTCTAGTTTTTGTTGTTGACACTCAGTTGTTGATACTGTACTGGTTATGAATACAACGTGTTTCAGTTATTTTAAAATGTTCAGACCTGTGAAGTCGCCCCTGAACCTTCTTGGACTAAACTCCGAGCCATCGCGCCACTGGCAGGGTAGCAGGAAAAAAATGAACACACCACATTAGTGGTGCCACAAGCCAACAATTCCTGTATTCAGAAAAGAAAATGCAGACACAGAGTGAGTTGATAAATTCACATTGCTATCATAGTGCGACAACAAAACAGTGTCATCCATTGTGTAACCATGACAACGACTTTAAATATGACCAATGTTATTTTTATACCATTATTCATAACAGAGAAAGTCACAAAGTGGTTCGTCAATGAGGTTGTTGATCTATCCATATGTATAGTGAGCGCGACTCTTTTTCCATATTTACCATGGAACCTGGTTTGTCCGTGCCCTGTTTTTTGAGTCACTCGATTAGGGACCAATGTTTTGTTAACAGGAATATGTTGTCAGGTGAATTATTTATAAATGTCAGTTAATTTCTTTTTCAACATACCTGGTTTGCATCGATTTCATAATTTTTCTTCTGGGCAAATAACGACGCCATGGCAACAGCAATTGAATATGATACTATTGCAATCGGGAAAGCAGAACCAATCATGGAGGTGAGATATTTAGTTGATTGGAGACTCGGTGCGGGTAACCTTTTGAATATTCAAAACACAATCAGTATAGAATAAAAACGTATAATCACACACTTAGTACACTGTATAGTGTTCTTTGAAATTACATCCGACTTTCTATTATATAAAGACCACTTCATAATCACTTACCCAGCAGGTATCTCTCCAACAACATCGACATTGTGATTCGCTTCTAAATTTAGGAAGTAGCTAGATAATGTACCAAGTATGACCTAAATTGGAAAAACAGTTATCAACTCTTAATGATAGGAATGGTCAATTAGCAAGATGACAGATGATTGGGCATTTAAGTTCATTTTTCAGGCTTGTCAAGCATTTATATATGTGCATACACCTGAGAGTACAAATAAGAGAAGGGTCACAACCTTAGTGCCTGGCAAAAAGTTGATGCAATTGTATTTATGAAAAAAATCTGATGTGACATTTACTGTAATTTAGAGACAGGGTTGCATTCATTCAGCAAGGTGACTATGGATAAATACATCAACCAGCTGTTAGCGCACCAAATGGAACCACCAAATGGAGCCAGTCCAGAATGTCAATCACATCATCCTAGATGAATCAATCTAGAAGCAATGAAGAAGTGCTTGTAAAGCCCTTACTGCTTTGGAGATATCGACCTGCTCTCTCGCCTCTTAAAGCTAAGGTGAGAAAAGAAAGATCATTTTGGAGAAGGAATTTGACTCCAATCCTGTACTTTATATCAACTTAGGACTACCAGAAGGACATCCTAGATCTTTACGCCACTGGTAAAAATAACTATGTTTTACGATACAGAAGAGAAAAGGCTTGGCTTAAACCACCGCTGAATGAGGCAACAACTCAGGGAATGACTGAGCGGTTTTTTTTTTGGGGGGGGGCATTGTCATTGACTGCATACAAACTATCCATTGATGAATATAACTACATTCTACTACCAGGTGAATGAATCCATAGCACTATCAGGAGTCATATATCCTGATTAACATTCAGGTCACCTCCCAGGGTACTGTTGTTTGATTTAAAGACAGTTATGAATCTAACTGCGGTGCTAAATATGACAAGAACAGTAAAAACATTGACATCAATACTATCACTCTCAAATGCCTCATCCCGATTAGCACTAAATGGAAACCTTAAATCTCAGTTTGTCTGAGAGTAAAGACATTGGACAGGTTGACAAGGCTAAAGAACGACGGAACAATGACACAATATTAATTCTGGTATATGATGATGATGTAAAAGGGTTTCAACTATAGCCAGCCAGTCACCCTTGACATATCAGGTGGCAGCAGTATGATATCCATGAAAGAAAGCACAACTTTGACCATGCCATGAAACGTCATCTCCGGCCGGATCATCATGTACATATCAGGAATAATAGTCTTGATGTGTCAGTCAATGCCTTGAAGTACAATGTGAAAGAGTCAGGATATTTCCTTCTACAGCACAATGTTCATGCAATAGATGTCAGCAATAGACATGAGCATATTTTGAGCTATGGTGGGCCCAGCATATCCCTTTGGTGATCAGTGAATCGGTTAACCAATTATAGTAGAAGTTGATTACACCTGTAGGGGCCTGGTGAAAGGGATGAGGCAGGCCCTGGGGGACTTATATATACTGTTCAATCTGATTGAGATAACAGACAGAGACATGGCTCCTACACCATGGCAATTACTTACGACAACTAACTCTCCCCCTAAAGGAAATCCATGTAGGTGCTTCTTAAATTTCGACTCTACTTCTTTGATGAATATTAAAACAAGAATACAGCTAATTGATAGAAGTATAGTCACGCAATTCCATTCCTCTATCCCTGTAAATATGTCTCGATACACCTGTAATAGTATGTATGTATATATGTTTTAAATTGTATTGTAATAATGATTTAACGTATTCTGAGTATTATATAAAGGGAGTATTTACTTACGTAATACAGTTTCACTAGGCCATCATAACTACCGACTTTGACTCCAAGTATATTATCTATTTGGCTCGTGAACACGTGGACACCAGATCCTGTAGTATATCCCTTGATAAAGGGATCCGATAGATATACAGTAACCCAGCCAAGGCGCAGAATACCCATAGATAACTAGAACAAGCAAAGTCAGATTATATTTTGAAAAGATTATTCGTAAAAGTCGACAGGATTTGTGATAAAAGTGAGCGACAATTGCATGTCAACTTCTAGTGTTATTAATTGCAATTATCTTGATAATCGCTTCATGTCAACTGAAACATACAACACTTTAACACGTTACTTTAGATTTGTGCAGTATAAGTGCAATAAATACAATTATTATGACATTAGATACATGTATATTGGTTATTGGTGTTTTCTGGTAAATCTGGCAAAATAATAAAGCAAATTTGTCGCATACGACTTGTTTACCACTTCCGTGTTACTGAGAATGTTCTAGAACCGTACTATGTCTGGGTGGAATATTCTAGATTTTTTTTTAGAAACTGGTTGAATAGGTAATAGAACACTGTAGAATAGAAGGTAATGGAACATTCTAGAAATTTGTAGTAAATTCCAGACTCATTATGTATGCTGATGTAATGGTCTATTTATAGACAGTGGGGGTATATATAGGGGAGTTGTTCAGCACTGATTTCAGATCGGAGATCTCGTTGAATGGTATTGGAGTTTAAGTATCTAGTCATTGGAGAAGTGGAGTTTTACCGCGTTATTGTACTTGATGTTTGCAGAGTATAATAATACCAGTACCAGTTGAAACCTCATCTGTTGGCTCCGTGTTCGTATTTTATCATCGCCGCCAGGGAAGTCTTTCTGTTACTGTTGCCATTTTGGTATTTGAACCATCACACCTGTACTATACCAATTATGGTAATATTACGTTGCGTGTGACAAAATTGAATTTTCTGTTTTAATGGGTGAAACTGTCGTTTGCCTGCTAGAACAAAGTTTTTAATCGCACACACCACTTTCATCACCGTGACTCATAATACCGACTAAACCCTGAGAACCAATTACTACAAGTCATACTGAGTATAAATGAAAGTACTGTAAATAGTTTCACTAGAACATACACATTCGTTAATCAATAGATATCTGGATGATATGATGATAACTCCATCCATTCAAAAAAGAATGTGTTCTTGGAATTGCAAAAAAAAAAAAAAAAAAATACTGGACTTAATCACATTTTATTAATTCTATACTAACCTGTATAATTCCAACCAGGAGTGCCAATATAATAGCAGCATCTATCAGTTCTTGTTGTCTGTCCCACTCTGGTATAGCGGTTGCTTCTGTATTATTGAAATACATACCGTTGGTAGGTGGTTCTTCCATATCGTCGGGATATAGAGGTACGGCGCTTTCTATTGCTGTGCCTACCAGTATGCTAAGAACAGAATAAGTACCTACAGAACAGACACGAGTAAGTGACATATCACGCCTAGGAGATAAGTGTGGATGTCAATAAAAAACGTTTTGCTCTGGAGAAAGGTTGTTGAGTTTTTCTTGAATATGGTGAACACATCGGGGTTGTCATTGTCACTCAGCATAATCAGCCTTAAAGCGGGAGGATCGTCACCTGCGCACGTGCGGGAATTGAGTTCCAAGCGACGATAACAACGCACGCTAAAACGCAAAGGCTAATGGGTAGATGCTTGTTTGTAAACAATGACACACTAGCCATCTGACGCATGCGCAGGTGACGACTCCCCTGCTTTAACTGTAGATCCATAGCTCTTCTTGTGTAGCTCTTTAGTCTTTTTGATGTTATTTCAGTCATTTCTGATACATTTGGTGTCATTAATTCTGCTATTTTCAGACATTAGTATATGGTACCTCCCATAGAAAACCGTGACAAAAATGGTCTGTTTGAAGTTGTTTTTCCCGGGATTTAGCTGCTAAAACTTACGTAAATCTAGTGACAGTCATTTTCGTGAGGTTCGAACGAGGATTACTTTGCTAAATGGCGTCACTGTATTAGAACTTACCTCGGAAAGTGGAACAGCTAAAAACGCCAGGTCGTCTGCTACTATTAGTATTTTGCTATAGACTTCGTGGTACTGTTGTCTATGTTCTCTAAATCCTATACATGCATGGAAAGACATATATTTGTATATTTCTCTTAAAAAAACTGTGGGCAGTATACGCATGCATCTAAAGTAGACGACGAAGAGTAGTTCGCTTTACGGGCGTATTCAACAAGTTATCGGGGATACCTTCTCCAGTGACGTCACATTGTCCTCGATCGACCTGCAGAAAATGGCTGCCACCGGAGTAACGTGTGGCTCGGAAAACTAAATCCCGGGAAAAAGAACTTCAAACTTATAATGGTTTTTGTCACGGTTTTGATTTTGAATATTCTGCTTTTGTCGACTTTTATTTGCGATGCCATTTGGCGTCGCACGTTTGTGTTACGCAAGTCTATGGGAGGAACTATAGCTCTTCTGTGTCGAAAAAAATCCCAATACTAGTAGCTGAAAATAAAAAAAAATATAAGGACACAAAATACATCAGAAATGACTAAAATACCATCACAAAAACTAAAGACCGACACAAGAAGTGATATGAACCCACAGCTAAATCAGCCTGCCAAGTTATATATACTGTATTTTGTTTATATGTCTTACCCATTGCTAGCTGTTTAGATGTGCCTGTCAGTGCATATATAATTGGTGCAAAGAAACCCAGATATAGACCATGTACTGGAGGTAATGATGCCAACATAGCATATGCCATACCTATACACAGACAAGTACAATTAGTGTGACTATGCAAGAAATTATATTCCCTCATTGTTATTTAGACAAAACCCGACTACGAATAATGTGTTAGATCTTGTTCAAATATATTGTGACCTTTTCAGAGGGTCATAACCGCTAGTGACGTAAGGCTTCACAAGCGCATGTGGTTAGTTCTACGTTGAAAGCACAGATTTATACTTTGGCTCGATTTCGCAATTGCGTGACAAATATATATCTACCAACTTATACAAAAATCAACTTAACAACGGCATGGCAAATATACATATTTTCAAATCGGTTCAACAGCAATAGTGCAATATCATACTTTCGTACATTAAATGAACAAGGATTTTGAAATTACTGTCGAAAACAAAACTTTCTAATTATATATAGTTGCATTAAAGCTGAAAACAGAAAAAATGTTCTGTCGAATTATTATACGAATAACTCCAACTAGCAGATGCTTACAAATTGGTAAGAACACAAACTGAATGAATAAAATTAAATCTCATCTTGGAAGGCCGTGTACATATTATGCTATCACGACCACATCGATGCCTCTTTGTGCTGGCCTGATTAATTGCAATTACTGGCAAAATATATCGAGCTTTGATGTATGTGACTACGCGTTGATAAGATGTTAATGTGTAAATTTGCTAACACGTTAGACACGAGGCACAGCGTTGGCATACTTCAGAGACAGACCATGGCAATACAATCGTTATTGCTTATTTCGGAGACGACATTACGCACCACACACGCAGACTCAAATGTAAAAAATATTCTACGCAAACTATACTATATGTACAACATCTTCCATCTTTTAAACTTGTCAACAATCAAAAACTGTTGCGGGGACGTCCCGAAGACTTGGGACAATTAATTTGAAACGACACCGAAGGAATTCGCGTTGTGATTCGCGTACGTGCGATATTGAACAACAAATCTATTAAAAAAAAGGCTATAAAACACTCAAGAGAGTCTACTTATCCATATTGGATACATTCGCCTTCGTGTTAACGACGTTGACTTTTTCAACTCGCCTACTTGTTATCAATTCGTACGAAAGTTAGCGTAGAGTTTATCGCTGTAGTATATTGGAGTGGGTACACTTTCTACACTAACCTTGCGGTATGTTCATAACGCAGACTGTTATGCCCGATACAATATCTGCTAATAACTGGGTTCGAATCACGTACCGGGGTAGCCAACCTAAGATTGGCGCCGTTGACACCATGCAACCTTTACAACAACGAGAACCGCATCGACACTTCTTAACCATAGTTTCAATTTTCTGACGGCATGGCACATATTCGAACTCGTTCTCTTTATATTCTGTGTGGAAACCTCGCTCCGTGTACATCGGTCGATTTATTTGGTAGATCAGGGAGGGGTCAGTTTGATCGGCGTCATCTTGATCGGCGACGTCTTGCACAACGTATGCAGTAACGTCTTGGTCGTGGTGGTCCTGCTTGTAGCTGTGATTGTACAAGACATCCTGCAGTGGTCGGTCGACCCCGAGGTCTACTTCTTCCTCGTCCGCGCCAACTAAATGTTCTAGGGACATGGATGAAGTCATATTCGGGCGATTTATGATAGACACCAGGCTGTTCTTCATACAAGTGTACTGCGCCAATGACACTTTTTTTATTGCTGAGGATGTTTGTTCGGTAAGTCATATATCAATCGAATCGATGCGTAGTTATGAATATGATGTATGTCAAAGGTTAAACAAATATGACTGTTTTTTATTATTTTTTATTACTTTTTGGAATACGTTTCAATAATGTTCTAACGAAAGTGGATTAGATTTTGAATTCACATAATTTTTGTGAGCAGCATTTACGGCGAGATTTGTGAGACTTTGTTCGTATTATGAAACCATGGGAGGATTTTAATATGTAGAATCGCTAATTTGCGAATTACTGGTTTAATAGTTACCCTAATTCCCTAAAATTCTCAGTGTGACTCAGAGTTAGTTGCGTAATTAACTACTGCGCGAGATAGCGATAATAATTGTGGAAGTGATTGCATAACCAGTATTGTGGGCATCACGACGTCACTAACATTATACGTCACGCTTCGTCTAATTCGACCACTCAGGCTGACACAAATGATCAGCCAGAGGCAACACACATTTCAAGACGCTTAATCAACGTTTTCAACAAGCAGTGAACATAATCTGAGGTTATTACGAAGATACTGCAATGTATGCACGAAGACAGTACAGCGGAGCATCGACTAGCGCGCAGCATCCTCGTAATGACCTTATTATTATACATTTTCTCCCAAGAATACATCATGGGTATTTCGAAATCCAAGTTTAGAACAGATTTAGCGAACTTCTTTGTGTGGGGTCCGGTCAAACCCTGGGACGGCCATGTTTTTTTTTATTATTAGAGGACGCTTACACACGTAATCGTTCCATGTTCCGCGTTTCCTGATATAGTAGGATGAAAATACCCCATAAAATACCGCAAAATTACGACACGCTGTAACTTATGACGTTACGGTGACAGATGTAGAATAATATTATTTATTAATATCACACTATAGCATCAAGAATACTACTCATTACCTCTTAACATGATTTTGTAGTAAAAAACACAATATTAAAGTAAAATTCAATTACATTTATATCTTACATATTACCGGTACTAAGATGATATGACATTATCCTAACTTCGACAATGTTGCCATGTCACAGAAAGTTGAACTGCTAAAATTGTAAAAAAAAAGTCAAATGCTGCACGTAATTAATCATTGTTGAGGTTTTAGGCAGTTTTTTATTCAGTCGTGTTTTCAATTGAACGTTACTTATTTGGTCTGATTACGCATGCGCGTAATAAGTTTAAATACGTATAACATATCATAATAAATGTCAGTGAAGCAGTAGTTAACTCTTATTTCCACGAGTGTTTAATATTTGTCTATAAATTCAGAGTTAAAAATAGCAAGAAAGAAAAAAAATCAAATGATATTGAAACAGGTGTGAACAACGCAATTACTACGTGAATAACGACTGTAGGTCAATACTCTAACCATTATCCCGCCTGTCACGTGATGCCTTTCTGGATGTTCTGCCACAATCGTCATCTCAAGGTAGATTTTATGTATGCTGTCACAAACGTTACAAATAAAAGAAGAT